CGCCCCCCCGCCGGGGCCGCGGCCCGCCCGGGGCGCCGGGGGGGGCCCCCCCGCCGTCCGAACTTGTTCGACAGAGCCTGCCCGTTGCAACAACAACAACGATCCCCCAATGACGGAGGACAAGACCGACGAAAGGGGAAAACGTCAGGTCGGAAAGGAGGAGGGAGGGGGAACGAACGAACTAACCACATGACAACGACGAGCGTGTGGAAAGAGGTCCTGCACGCTCTCCCCGTGTCACCAAGAAGTGTCCCGCCTGTCTTTCTGCCTTGCGCGCCTGTCTGCCCGGTATCATCCTATCATCGAACGGGATCGTGCCAAAACATTCGTTCTGTCAGATGCTTTCGCCATCCACTCATACATTTGCGTCCGAGGATGATCTTCCATGGATCTGGGATCTGACCAGACAGACGCTTCATGGAACTCTTTTCGTGCCGCGTCCCTCCTCAAGCAGTTACGCTTCTCCCACCTCCCGTCAGCCTCCCATCGCCAACAACATCGATGACCAGATGTCCAGACGTTTCCGCCTGCAGACGATATCAGCACGGGTTTGGGGCACACGGGCGCGGAATGTGGATGAGAATGGATGGCCATGCTTCGCATCGCCTTTTTTCCTCACCAGTGGGGGACCTTCCTCCACCCACCACATCGCACAGCGCACAACGCACAACCTACCCAGCAAAAGGTTTCGTCCCCACTCAAGAAGAACGTGATCCGCTGGGCTCAGCGGAGAATCAACTCCGGACCCACTCGCATCCTAAGCGAGTATTATGCCACTAAACCACTGAGCCATTTTTCGTCCCCGGAGACATTACGCAAAACCAACCTTGGTATGCTGAGAGAATCAGAAGCTCGGACGAGGTCAAGCCACGCTGAATACCTTACCAACCGCGCACATGTTCTTGCTAATTGCTACAGGAGGACTAACACGTCAATGCCAGCGGCCGGAGGAGCTCAAATTCTGCAGCTAACCAGAAACCGGCCGTTATAGACAGCTGACGGGGGGAGGGGCGTCCCGCGCCTCGACGCCAAGAGCATCATACAACAGCTGGGCGAAAACCAAGAGCACATTACATTACGCCATTCAAGATACATTTCAGACCATTTCACCCTACTACGCGAGAATGGCGGACGTCACAAGGTCTTCTACACCACCCAGTCTTCCGCAGGAAATCACGAACAAGATCCTGCTCTTGGTGGACGTCAAAGTCGCCATCTCGGTCGGTAACGAACACGTCAAGAGGATCCTTTTGTGCAAAGCACATCTTCCGCAACGATGGAAATCTTGCAATCCCGAAGTCTTGTCCTGGCTCGTGCGATACGAAGTCCGCGGTTACACCAAAACAAACGCAGAGTGGGCCGTCCAACAGGGGAACTTGACCATGCTGCATTGGCTGTACGAGCGAGGAGTTGGCATGTACTGGGCATGGGGTGCTCGACCGCCTCTCGACGTGGTCAAGTGGCTGCACGAAATTGAAACCGAGGGCTGCACGAGGGACGTCATGGACAGCGCAGCTGAAGAGGGCCATCTTGAGTTGGTCAAGTGGCTGCACGAGAACCGCACCGAAGGCTGCACGACTCATGCCATGGACGGGGCTGCTGGAGAAGGCCATCTCGACGTGGTCAAGTGGCTGCACGCGAACCGCACCGAGGGCTGCACGACGCAAGCCATGGACGATGCAGTTTTGAACGGCCATCTCGACGTGGTCAAGTGGCTGCACGAGAACCGCACCGAAGGCTGCACACTGCCCCATGGACTGGGCAGCTAACAGCGGTCATCTTGAGGTGGTCAAGTGGCTGCACGAGAATCGCACCGAGGGCTGCACGACGGAAGCCATGGACTATGCAGCTAGGAACGGCCATCTCGATGTGGTCAAGTGGCTGCACAAGAACCGCGACGAGGGCTGCACAAAGTACGCCATGACCTAGGCAGCTGAAGAGGGCCATCTCCACGTGGTCAAGTGGCTGCATGATCACACACCGTGGGAAGCACGTCGCAGAATTCGTCGGCCGAAAGGCCGGTAAATAGGCGCTCTTGGACGATTTTAACACGAACACCGCTGAGGTTCACTACTCTCCAATTAAGGAGTTTGACGAAGTTGACGTGATCCCGCTTACTACAATCGCGAAGCATTTACCAGTAAACGTTGGCCCTGCTTCGGAGGTTTGGTTGGGGGTTGGCGAGCCGGTACCCGGGTTTGCAGCGACCGACCCAGGAAACGCGTATGGTCCAAGAGCAAAAGTGTATTGACAAGAAAGGAAGAGGATGTACGGAATACCATATGCATATAAGAAGGAGGGAGGGTTGGAGACTCGTTGGGACGGGAAGCGAGTCGTTCCCCAGATTTTCCAAAAGCGTCTGTGCGTTGGGATCGATGTGTGCGTTGGAAGGCGTATGTCCAAAGGAGTTGAGTCGAGGGGATATGAAGAGAGCGACGTGGTAGGGAGAGAACCCGAATAAACAGAAGTTGTACCAAAAAAAGAGTTGAGAGGCCGTACTGCGATCCGACAAGACACTGTAGGTGCGTCATGTTCTCAAACGGCAGCGATAGGGGTTCTTCTCCGTTCAGGAGTCTCCACCATAGGTCCACCCGTCATCGCCCTCGACAGGGCTGCCGGCAGTGGACCCGGGCTGACGGTTCTGGAGTACGATGACGTGGATGTAGGGGGAGGCGGTCGATCCTTGACCGATCCTTGACCAGCACGGCGACGGCGACGAGTCGAACGGTCGAAAGTCGAGGTCGAGCTTTCCGGCGTCGATCTTGCTGAAGTCGAGAACGTCGTTGACGACGAGCAAGAGTCCTGGCTTGTCATCGGTGGTATCGAAATCGACGACGACGCCACCGAGGCTGGAGCTGACGAAACAGCTTCACTTGATTCAACAGTCGTGATAGGAACATCCGCCAGCGGACGCTCTTGCCACGTTGTACTTGGTTCAACTGTCGTCGACGCTTGTACTTGGGTCGAGGTCGGTTGAGCTCACGCTCACCTAAACCTGGTGGCACGAAAACGCCACAACAACAACCTTTCAGAAACGCCCCACATTACGCCCCGTTCAAGATACAATTTCAGACCATTCCATACCGGTCAAAATCCCGGTTAAAAGACGATTCCCTACCATTTCACCTTACTACGCAAGAATGACGGACGTCACAAGGTCTTCTACACCACCCAGTCTTCCGCAGGAAATCATGAACAAGATCCTGCTCTTGGTGGACGTCAAAGTCGCCATCTCGGTCGGTAACGAACACGTCAAGAGGATCCTTTTGTGCAAAGCACATCTTCCGCAACGATGGAAATCTTGCAATCCCGAAGTCTTGTCCTGGCTCGTGCGATACGAAATCCGCGGTTACACCACAACAAACGCAGGGTGGGCCGCCCAACAGGGGAACTTGACCATGCTGCATTGGCTGTACGAGCGAGGAGTTGGCATGAACTTGGCATGGGGTGCTCGACCGCCTCTCGACGACAAGACTCGGTCGTGGGTCTTGACGCGCCTCGACGTGGTCAAGTGGCTGCACGAAATTGGAACCGAGGGCTGCAACAAGGACGTCATGGATTGGGCAGCTATGGAGGGCCATCTTGAGGTGGTCAAGTGGCTGCACGAGAACCGATCGGAGGGCTGCACAACGGACGCCATGGACCGTGCAGCTAGAAGAGGTCATCTCCACGTGGTCAAGTGGCTGCACGAGAACCGCACCGAGGGCTGCACGACTGGAGCCATGGACGGGGCTGCTGGAGAAGGCCATCTCGACGTGGTCAAGTGGCTGCACGCGAACCGCACCGAGGGCTGCAGAGTGGACGCCATGGACTATGCAGCTCTCGACGGCCATCTCGACGTGGTCAAGTGGCTGCACAAGAACCGCGACGAGGGCTGCACAGAGTGCGCCATGACCTGGGCAGCTGAAGAGGGCCATCTCCTCGTGGTCAAGTGGCTGCACGATCACCGCACCGAGGGCTGCCTGACTTTTTCCATGGACAATGCAGCTGGAAGAGGTCATCTCCATGTGGTCAAGTGGCTGCACGAGAACCGCACCGAGGGCTGCACGACTGGAGCCATGGACGGGGCAGCTGGAGAAGGCCATCTCGACGTGGTCAAGTGGCTGCACGCGAACCGCACCGAGGGCTGCACGACTTTTTCCATGGACAGTGCAGCTAGTAGAGGTCATCTCCTCGTGGTCAAGTGGCTGCACGCGAACCGCACCGAGGGCTGCAGAGTGGACGCCATGGACTATGCAGCTAGCAACGGCCTTCTCGACGTGGTCAAGTGGCTGCACAAGAACCGCGACGAGGGCTGCACAGAGTACGCCATGACCTGGGCAGCTGAACAGGGCCATCTCCACGTGGTCAAGTGGCTGCACGATCACCGCACCGAGGGCTGCGCAACTGGAACCATGGACGGTGCAGCTAGAAGAGGTCATCTCCACGTGGTCAAGTGGCTGCACGAGAACCGCACCGAGGGCTGCGCAACTGGAACCATGGACCGGGCTGCTGGAGAAGGCCATCTCAACATGGTCAAGTGGCTGCACAAGAATCGCACCGAGGGCTGCACGACTGGAGCCATGGACTATGCAGCTAGCAACGGCCATCTCGATGTGGTCAAGTGGCTGCACAAGAACCGCGACGAGGGCTGCACAAAGTACGCCATGACCTCGGCAGCTAAAAAGGGCCATCTCCACGTGGTCAAGTGGCTGCATGATCACACACCGTGGGAAGCACGTCGCAGAATTCGTCGGCCGAAAGGCCGGTAAATAGGCGCTCTTGGACGATTTTAACACGAACACCGCTGAGGTTCACTACTCTCCAATTAAGGAGTTTGACGAAGTTGACGTTATCCCGCTTACTACAATCGCGAAGCATTACCGGTAAGCGTTTGCCCTGCTTCGGAGGTTTGGTTGGGGGTTGGCGAGCCGGTACCCGGGTTGGCAGCGACCGACACAGGAAACGCGTATGGTCCAAGAGCAAAAGTGTATTGACAAGAAGGAAGAGGATGTACGGAATACCATATGCATATAAGAAGGAGGGAGGGTTGGAGACTCGTTGGGATGGGAAGCGACTCGTTCCCCAGATTTCCAAAAGCGTCTGTACGGCTGGGATCGATGTGTGCGTTGGAAGGCGTATGTTCAAAGGAGTTGAGCCGAGCGGAAATGGAGAGAGCGACGGGGTAGGGAGAGAACCCGAATAAACAGAAGTTGTACCAAAAAAAGAGTTGAGAGGCCGTACTGCGATCCGGCAAGACACTGTAGGCGCGTCGTGTTCTCAAACGGCAGCGATCGGGGTCCTTCTCCGTTCAGGAGTCTCCACCATAGGTCCACCCGTCATCGCCCTCGACAGGGCTGCCGGCAGTGGACCCGGACTGACCGTTCTGGAGTACGATGACGTGGATGTAGGGGGAGGCGGTCGATCCTTGACCGAGTTTCCGGAAGCACCGCAGCCCGAGCTCCTCGAAGCTCGGCCCCTCTTTGACGGCCGATGACGAAGGATGGGCGGCGTCGATGTCGACTGGAGGAGCGGTGAGTGAGGTCGAGATGGAAGTTTGGGACAGGAGTCGACGGAGGAATAGGTCGAATTGTTGGAAGAACAGGTGGACGTCGATTCCTGGGAGGAGACGACGTTGGAGACGACGCCCGGTACGACGGCGACGCTCTCGGTCGTGTTGGTGCGCGAGTTCTGAGGGGTCGGGGTCTGACTGGCGGCCGCCTGTAACTTCGCCGCTATCCGAGGAGCGCCGTGCAACTCGATCATCCTGGCCAGCGTTTTCAGCTTGACCGGTTTGGAGATGTGTCCGTTC